CCGATCAATGACAATGATTACATGCATTTTTAATTCTTGCCTTTAATTAATTCCTTTACAATTGAATTTGTTTTTATGATTTTTAATTCCAGTCCCCGTTTAAACATTTTTAACATTTTTACATTCAAGTTACTTCAAAACATCTTTCAAAATAGAACTTACTAAGTATGGACTCACTCTTTTAAGATAATTCTACTATAATTAACTTAGGAGATAAATAATCACTATTATTTAGTAATAAATTATTATTAATTTACTTTGCAGCAATTGCGCAAGTAGTAGAATAACTTGTTTTCGCACTAAATGAATTTAAGATCATACAACATTATATGTATTAATATACATTAAATATATATACGCTACTGCATTTTTTTTTTCCGAACAAAGAACATGCTTAGTTTTTTTTTTTTTTTTTTTTTTTTTTTTTCAGTTGCTCATGTGCTATAAAAGAAGTAATTGAAACATATCTCAAGGTCCCGGCTACTTCAGTTTTCGGTGAAGTGATTACCCTGGAACACATAGCTATTAGTGAATATCAATACCAATGTTCCTTTATATTCTGAGAAACACTCTACTTCCATTTCAGAGTAAACTCTTAGAAATGGTCTTCGTGAGGTTTTTCACTATAATTGTTATCGAAATACATTATGAATTGCTGCAATTGTTCTCCTGAAGTGTGTTCAATTATAGTGCTGCAGATATGAGTGCAGCTTGATTATTCTCACAAAGCTAGGATCTCTCTCTGTTTCCTTCCCTTTGATGTTTATATTGTGGTCTGATTAGATCATTCAGATTGACCCTACTTTCAGTTTTACGTTCGGACAATTTTTCGTGGCGTATTTGTTTAGGTATTTCATATTTAAAAAATATTTTATTGAGTAATCAGTTTTTTTTTTTCAAAATATTCTCAAATTTTTCTTCGCATTTCACTGTGTTTTGAAAAGGGGACTAATTTAAAAGTTCTTCAGGTGATTTAATTTCACGATTAACTTTCCAAGTAGAAAATTAACAGGTACATCGATTCGTTCAAAAATTAGACTTTGTGTCGACATTTCAACTGATTAAAAAATTCATTTTTGATTTCGAAAATAAAATTTTATATTAATAACCATTGCTTAAATCTTTTCATTTTCAACAGATAGATCTTATTTAAAATTGAGTTCTGCCGATCTCAAATTTAAGAACAAATACGATTTTTTGCAAAATTCTTTCATCCATATTAAAAATAGTTTCGGAAACATTTCGCATTTTTATGTAAAAAAATATAAATATATATTAAAAACGATTTATCTTTGGTTCAAAAATAACTTACAAAATGCTTTTCAACTAAGAGGAAGGAATGCGTGTGTGTGTGTGTGATTATGGCAAAGCCTCGAGGGCTATCTGCCCAAGAGGAGGGATGCCTTCGTGGAGGACTTTCTAAGGGAAACTGGCTCGTATACACGTTACACATGGAAAAAACACGAAAACGCCCATGCAGCCAGCCCGTTCGCGGGATTCGAACCTCGGACCGAACTACCAGTGTTCAGCGACTTTACCGCTCGGCCGCTGGTGGGCCAGGAAGGAAAGTTAACAGGCATAATGGTTATTATTACATATCCATACTGTCGCTGTTGTAGTTGTGGTTGACTATATGTACAAAAAAATTAATTAATATTTCAAAATAAATGATCAATTCATTAGAAAGATAAAATGCCTAGTTTCCTGCAAAATATGGTATGTAACATCATGAAGTTGAAGGGGCAAAACATGACTGGCACTAGAGGATATTTTATCTTGACTTTAAGTCAAACTAAAATATTATTAAAATAAACACTGCGATCGCGCAAAAAAATTCGGGATCATAATTTTTCGTGACGTCTGTTCGTACGTAATACGCACGCAGGCATGTAGCATAACTAAAAATTGAGTAGCGGTAGAACGTTGAAATTTTATATATGAGACTGCTATAGCATCTAGCTGTGCACCTCCCTTTTTTGCTGTAGCTGCAATAAACGTATATATATATATAATTGCATTTATAGGATTATTTGAAATTTATTACTTATGAATTTCAATTTTTGGTCTTTGGGAAAAATTAGTCCTAAACTTCTCATTTTATATCTTTTCTGATATATATATATGTGTGTGTGTTTTTGTAGGAGTACTGAGAGTAATTAATTTGGGAAAAATTAGTCCTAAACTTCTCACTTTATATCTTTTCTGATATATATATGTGTGTGTGTGTGTTTGTAGGAGTATGAACACTGAGAGGTAGAAATGTAGAAGTACGTGATGGTGCAGCATGTAAATAACATAGAACATAGATCTATATTGAAGAGGAAGAATTCTGATTGAGTAGAATACTATTAGGAAAAACGGAACTGCAAAAAGTAATTTTCTGGCGCACATACTAGAAGCACATTAAACACAAATCGACGACCTTGAACCAACTCTAAGGCTGAATCTCGTAAGAATTTAACCACTTTGAGGATTTAAAGCCCACTTCTTTTTCTTATAAATACTGTAGAGGTGGCCGAGATAAATTCTACACTTCATTTTCACAACACATTAGAACTTTTACACTTGCAGATAAAGCAGGCACATTTATTTAACTTTTTTACAATCGAAATCCAAGTAGAGAATAAATTTCGCATTGAGATTTGTAACATGGAAACAAGATTTATTTCTTTAACACACTTTATAATTCTATGAAGTCGCACCGATGACTTGGAGAAATCTGCAACAGATTGACGATGGTCCTCTGCGTTATGACTTAGAGACTTTTCTACGTAATTAAAAAGATGACACTCCAAGGAAAGAGTTATAGACAGACGTGGCTAAATTGAATATTTTATTGCTGGCACGAACTAATTTTCGAAAACATATTTTTCGTCGCACAAGATCATAGGCGATATACGCATCCCACAATTTTATACAGAGTATCACATTTTAGATAACGGCGTAGTTAGCAGCACGACAAAGCAAAGGGAGCGAAGTAGCGTCTTCACTGCACGAGAGTTAAAGCTAGAATGCGCAGTCATCCACTATGGATGCTTACCAACAGAAGGTTTTGGTTTAGGTTAAAAAAGTTTCTGTTCTCAAAATTTTGAGTTCAAGTTTCGAATTAGCTATGTCATGAGCATTACAGAAGCATGTGACATAGATTAATCTAGAAGTGGCGCAGTCCAGAAAAGTTATGATGACTTTTACAATACATGCTTTTCATATTTTTTATTTTATATACATAGATAAACTCACCTCTTACCCGGCTCGGGGAACTCTGTTTATAAGGTATTTCTCCCACTTCCCTAGCATGGCTTCGTGGTGTAAGGTAGCACGCTGGGCCTGTATTCCAGAGGTCCGTGGTTCGATTCCCGGGAAAGGGGTTGCATATTTTTCATCTTTTCTGCTTCCAATTAACCTAATGATTCTACTACATATTTTTTCCTTCCTATATGCTGATAAACTGTGCATTTTTTTAAGTTTAGAAGGGACTGAATTATTCTGCTCGTATGTTCCGGTTAAGCTTTTTATGCCTTTAGTTCATCTGCATGCATTAGTTGTAGAACTATCAACAATTTAAAAGTGCAAGTGATGCTAGGCCTAAAGTGGGGGCTATTTGTTTATATTTCAAAGTCTTAACCAGAATAGTGAATTAAGTCAGTTGGAGCACCACCTGAAGTGTTTTTTTTTTTTTTCCCCTTTTCTTTTCTTTTTTTTTTTTTCCAGTGGGACCAAAAGTCAACTTTAAATGTTTGTGCACCAAACATTTTGTCTTCCAACACATTGGCCAAATTATTTGTTTTTCCCTAAAAACTCTAATTTTGCACAGATTATTTGTGCCATTAAATCTGAGAAAAATTAGACTGTGCAATTAAATTAATTGCACAGTCTAATTTTTCCCGGGGAATATCTGTGCAATTAACACAGATATTTTTAACTGTTTTCAACTGTATTTGACGTTTCAGGTTTTTCTGTATTTACAGTTTTTAATGAAAATGGTTAGAGTTTTTATATATTTTTACATCACCGCGAAGTGAGAACTGAATTGATTGAATGCGAAATACACCTCTAATAAAACTCGGGGAAATAAGTTTAAATGAAATGCAGCAAAAAATGTGCATAATTTAATAGGCCGCACGAAAAAGTCATGTAATGTCCACATCAGATTTCTTTTATTTTTCCGTGTTAAAACACAGGAATCATTTAACAAACGGAATTTTCTCCACCGTTTATTAATATTAGCATACCTAATACTTACTAAAAGTGCAATTTCTCTGAAAGGCTGGCTGATAAATGATCCGAATTTTAGCAGGTTTTTCAAACATATTTAAGAATGTAAAGAAGGGGGATATATATATATATATTTGCATGTAAAGAGAAAACGAATTTGCCTGTAAATGAGAAAAATTCGCTTGACATTTCCTATTTTTGCGAATAAAGAATATTTAAAGTTATACTAATTCAAAATTTAGATACTGAAAAACATACAAAATGAATTTTTTTATTTACTACAGTAGCTAATTCTTTCACGAAAAATTCCTAATATACTAAATTTTTGAATTTTCATTGTTTTAGACATTATTTAGAGCTTGTAAAGGTATATTTTGCTTTTATCAGCAATATTAGTGTTAAAATGTGAAATGCAGTCAAACAAAATAACAAAAGATGACTATGTTCATATTTTTGCCTTTGAAAATGTGAACACTTAAGTATCAAATTTGCTAATACATACATATTGTTTCAAGATCCAGCCTTTAAAATTAAGTTTAAAATTAATTTTCATAAAAAATGCACAGGCATTACATAAGCGTTGTTTTAACGTATCTTTATATATCACTAATTTAAGAACAATTTTATTTTTCGAAATTCGAGTTAAAAATTAGCCACTAGATTCTGTTTATCTCTCCTCTTAAATAATTTCCGAATCTTGCATTAAACAGAGTTTTTAAGTAGGCTATGAGGAAATCCTGCAATGATTTAATAACTTTCTAAAAATGAAACACGGGGAACAGAATTATAAAATCATTTTAATATTGCTATTGTATGCTTCATGAAACAAAATCTAAAGTAGCAGAATTGTCAGAGTATGAAAGGCTCTACGGGGGAGATTAGTTTTAATGACCTTCTAAGTAACTTCTCAGGTGTTTAGTATTTTTACCCATAAGTCTTTCAACAGCTTTACCAAATGTTTCTCCAACAGCCCACTGGTAACCTAAAATAAAAGAAAAAAGGACATGCAAGACATACAATAGAACTAATATGAATTATGAGCAATTATGAGCCTTATAAGGTATTTTCTCCATCTATCAGGATTTATTCGAGAGGTTCAGGTTCGAGTCCCGGCGAGGGCATTGCTACTTTTCAGGCACTCCTTTTGTGCTTTCATAAAACGAGGGAGGAAAAAAGCTAATGGCTGCACAGGCTTTTACATGTCTTTCAAGTCCTTACTTATTCCTTTTATCTCTTAATCTTCAACTGAGGGCACACGATTGGCGATATTTAGCGAAACGCTTACTAAGCGGTAATTGTATAAAAGATAGTCCGTAGAATATAACACTTTCATTGAATATTAAAAATATTACTTTTAATATTTGTTCACTTTAATGCTGCAGGTGAGTCACCAATAACAGAAAAAAGCAGCTATGCACCCTCAGTTAAAGATTAGGATCCTAGGCTAAATATTAGCATTTTTCGGCTTCTTTTATCTTTTCAACCGGCTGAGAATTTCGCTAAGAAGCCCCAAATCGCTATGAGAAATTTCTTGATTTTAATTCCAAAATGCTCCTATTATTTTATTTTTATACATCATTTAAGTACTGTTAATGCATTGCTTTAATTTTTTGCACATATTTCAAGATTCACGTATATATACTTTATAAAAGTCCTTAAAAATATTTTAGGATGTATATATATAGTCTTGATGGTCAGAAGGTTTTAAGTATTTGTTCTTACAGTAATAGACGATAGACAATTCTACCAAACTCCAATCTGTGCCCGCCAGATCTAGATAATGACAAACAAGTCACGACAATGGAAACTTAAGAAAAAAAATCCAGGAGTAAATTTCATTTTAATATGAAAAAGGAACAGTAAAAGGGAAAGGAAAAAGCAATTTCTATACGATTTATAATTACAGCCTTTCACTAAAAGTCCAGCGATTAACCCGACGTGATTTCAGTATGGACAAAAAATCTAATTTTCAACACGTCATTTTACAGAGAAAATACAACGGCCAATTTAACCGTAAAATTTATAAAAAAATTTTAAGCAAAAAATTTTGCCAAATGGCTGAGAAGCTATAAAACAAATTTTGTATATAAACTAATAAAGAAAATAGTATATTTTAATACTTTTTACTCTTAATTAAATTCTCATATAGATTTTTATTACGATTATTCAACTTCTTAAATCCTTGGTATTCTATATTAATTTTAACAATACTTAATATCTCCCCATTAATAATATTTCATTTATATTTTCATATACAAATCGTTCTCAAAATAAAAATAAAATTCTTAAAATTCAAATTTTAAACAATAAGAGTATAAATAAGAGTAGAAAACCAAATTTTTAGAAAATCAAAATAATTTAGAAACTCTTGCCTACAGAAACTTCCCCGACACAAATTATGCATATAAATTAAAAAGAAACTAGACATTATCTATAAAAATAATACATAAATTATACTTAATACTAAAAAGGCAAGTAAATAGTAAATTTTAATTTAACTTACCAACTATATAGTTTAATTATTTTGGTTTCCTAAAGATGCAGCGTCTTAACAGGATGAAAGCGTAAGCGAGAAGAGAGGTGGTGGTGTATTTAATTATGGCAAAGCACACTAGGGCTATCTGCCTAAGGGAAGGGATGCCTTTCGGGGAGGACTTTCTAAGGGAAACTGACTCGTATACACGTTACACATGGGGAAAACCACGAAAACGCCCATGCAGCCAGCCCGTTCGCGGGATTCGAACCTCGGACCGAACTACCAGTGTTCAGCGTCTTTACCGCTCGGCCGCTGGTGGGCCAGCGAGAAGAGAGAGAAAGTGTCGTAGTATGTAGAGAAAGAAGGGAGGAAGTCGAAACGTTTCAATTCCAGTTAGTTTTGGTTTACAGTTATTCTGATTGGGCAAGAGACATCTGCATTAAGCGTTACATAAAATTTCAGGATTAATTTGAATGGCGCAGTTTAGACTTATGGCGCTATTTTCAAGACAGACAGAGGAAGTCCCCCAGATTAAATAAAACTAAAAGTGATTATAGCTAATTAAAACCAGAAGTCTGCCCTTATATTTTTTTCTTTTACATGTGTATAATTACATAACAAATTTTTTAAAACATAATATGATCATGCCTAGTATTTTTGCGCATTAAGTTGCTGAAAATTATCAGTAAAGACATAAAGTAAGAAATTTAGAAGCAATTTTTCACAAAGACCAAAAACTAAAATTTATGTCATAAATTTCAAATAATCCTATAAATGCAAAAAAGAATTTAATACATGTTAAAACCAAAACACTTCAAACAAGCAATATCCTAATTTTAAAAAAAAAAAGGGAAACATAAAGAACATAATAGTAGAGGATGTCAATCAACTTCAATGCCCCTTTGTCAGGAGAAACACTGAAATCAATTGAAAGCTCTCTTCCAAAAAACTCCTTGCTTTTCTGTATCCAGAATTAGTCGACGGACCATTTCAATGCATTTTAATTTTAATAGTTCATCCCAAGATTCTGGTCCCTCTCCCAAACAAGGAAAAACGAAGTAACTTCTAATAAAAAGTTTTTACCTTTAAATAAAGAAAACTATATTCAAAGAATTTAAAACATATGTGAAATAATAAAATACTTTAGTGAAAAATACAAATCCAAATTTTAGGTTTATACAAAGAGAGCATTATCCAAAGAATTGATATATGCTATATATAATATAAAAATACATAAAACAAAGTTTTGATTTTAACTGGCAATTGCCCTGTTAGCCTTCAAATTAATTTGGGTATTTCCTCTTTCTCTCCTGCAATAGTATCTGTTTATAGTATATCAGTTTAAACTGTGTCACTTCAAAATTAATCCGCATCATACGATCTTACGTAACGCGACAATGCAGATACCTTTTATCCAGTCACTGAATAAGATTTCAATTGAAACGAAAACCTTTTGACACTCACCCAAGCTTCTCATCATTACGTCGATGGCTTTAAGTGCTTCATGTTAAGATTTCGTCTCTTACTCTCTCTCTCTCTCAGTCACCCGTTGTATGTGTTAAGAATGTACTGAACATTCAAAAATGTGAGCTGTACATTGCGCCCATGATGATGTGTGAACTCAGAATGTGTGTCACAAGAATTGTATTATCCAGCAATAAATTATGTGGTATATTTAGCTATACGTTTTCTGGAAGTTTCATCATTCTATCTAGGCAAAAAGCCTCGCTGGTCTAGACAGATATGATATGTAACATGTACGTATTTATTGTCCGCTATAAGCTAATTTAATTAAATTACCACAGCAGATTCCAGATGTTATTAGATATAATCGGACTGAGATTTCTACACTTCACTTAAATTTAGAAAGAATTTCTAATAAACGATCTTCCTTTCCTTTGTAATACGTTTATGAAATATCCCTTTCTTTTCTGACTAGCATCCTGTTTTTCTTAAAATTTTTTGCTATAATTTCTCACCTCCATCATTTTTTGTTGCATCTCAATTACCAATTGCTACAAATCCGTTTGCCATTTTCGCAAACACAATTCATAATAACTTCCCACACGAGCAACACCACTACCTTGAAAGAATAAAGCTATCAAAATTTTCAATTTTGTAACTATTTCCGTCTCTCCCTCTTGTTATGTTAGGCAGATCAAAAGAGAAAAAAACTGTTTAGGGAAGAGTGGCATCAAATCAAATCCCATGTTTTACCACTTAGAGCATGATAACTTAAATGTATAGAGATTGTATTTTTGATGTTTCATGTAGGAAAATACGCAGGTGCATTAGAAGAAAATTTCTTTCCTTTGAGAATAAAATGTTTCGAGGGCACAGAACTCGTATTCTGGAAGAATAATTTTAGCAGAAAACAGTTTTGTTCATGGAGCAGACACGTCAATCTTTTGACCTTCATTTTACTGAGCACGTCTGAGGTTAGAGTTTGACGATTCGCTCCGGAACTGATCCAAAAAAACAATTCATTTCACTGAGAAAATGAACAGTGTTAAAGGTATTTCTCCAGCCTTCTTAGCATGCCTTCGTGGTGTAGTGATCAGCACACTTGGCAAATTCGAGAGGTCCGTGGTTCGTGTCCCGGCAAGGCCATTGCTCATTTCTTCAGTTTGCTGACACTGAAAATTTTAAGTAACCCTGCAGTGGTGCCTGAACTGAAAAGGTGGTGGATGATGAATTCTCCACCACCAGGATTTGGCGATTGAGTCCCCTAGTCCCCACTCGCCCTTTGAAAAGGAGAGCATATAAGGTATTTCTCCCGCCGTCTTAGCATGCCTTCGTGATGTAGTGGTCAGCACACTCCGCGCGTATTCGAGATGTCTGTGGTTCGAGTCCCGGCGAAGGCATTGCTCAGTTTTCATCTCTCATCTCTCCTGCTTCGAAATAACCTAATGTCTTTACAAGTGACTACAGAAAACGCTCTTGAACATTTCACACAGAAATATTGTTGAAAGCGTGTCAGGAATATAAATGTGTTATTCGTTCTATAACAGATTCACTTTACTAAACTGACGAACGCCTGATTCGTGAAAAACAGCGGAGCTCATTTAAAGTTTACCCATACAGAGCTCTCGTTGAAGACGTGGCAAGCAAGATGAATCCCCATTTTAGACGAGAAAAGAATGTTTATTCTCCCACGTTTAAAATTTAGTTTTTGTCATTTCAAAAATTTTTGAAAATTTTTTATTCTAAAATGTTATTGTTAGTTCTATGTAGAAAGGAAGTTTTAAGGAATCTCAAAATTACAGTTAAAAAAATTAATCCAGGAAGTTCGCGGTTTGATTTAATAGATTCTTCCAATCTGAGAAAATGTTTTTGGATCCGATTCCTTAAAAAAAAACTGTTTTGCCCATCCCTATCTAAGATTCTGTGGGGAGACGTTTTTCTCCTCTCAACCCTTATCTTAAAACCTTCGAAGAATTTGCAGCAGCTTTGTTAAAAAAATAGGCTTTGCCTTCTAGTAAGCTCACAGATATTTTTATTATTATCATGAAACATCGTTTCAGATGTACTGTTGCGTGAGGTGATGCCATTTCATATTGAAGATGTCTTCCCTGTTTTAAACTTACATTTCCGATTTGTCGAAAATAAAATACAGTCAAAAGTCGTTAATCCGGAGTCGTCGGGACTTCAGCGATTCCGGATTATAGATCATCAGTTTAAATCTGGTAAGATGGCAGTCAGAAATTATAAAATTAAAAATATGAAACCGTAATTTATGAAATAAAGAACAATTATGATGTAAAGGGTATCAAAATTTACAAAAAAAGGCTTAATATTTATTTGTTTACTTTATTAAACATTTCTTTCAACGCGCGCGTAAAGCATACATTACGCAAAGTCAAGATTAGAAAATTGCAACCAGAAAACTATTTGATGTGTATTCGTGATATTTATAATGAATTTGATTTAAATCATATAAAAGAAAGAGTACATCGAGAAGAAATACTACATTTAGTAATGAACTATAAGCCGAAAACATCTAGTCGAAAGCTATAATAAAATAAAAACATCTGCCCTAAAGATCTGGATAGTGCTGACAGACCAACTTCCAGTTCATTGCGCGCCGCGACGTTTCCCTCCCCCGCAGAGCAGTGTGAAATTGATAAACAGATTTCGGAATGGTTAGAAAAGCAAAGGATATGCCTTTATCCATTTTTTTTTTGCAGCAATTCCACTTTTTGTTTAATGACATCGAAACATACTTTCGCTTTGGAGATCCTTTACATATTAGTAAATATATATCAGAAATTCTATTTGACATAATCGAGCTTCTTTCAAGCTTACTTTTATAAAATTGCTCTAACAGTCTGCAAAAAATAATAAGCCGGATCCAATTCGAAGATTAAGGAACAACGCAATCTGCATCATTAACTGAATTAGATAATTTTAGCTTAGCTTATACCGTCCGTTATACATTAAACGCGCATGCGTAAACGTATTATGCGCATGCGCACACGCATATTTGCAGCCGTATAGGTCTTACACGCATGCGAAGAAAGTTTGTAGCTTTAAGGTCCGAATTATAGATTATTCCGGATTATGGGTGTCCGAATTAACGACTTTTGACTGTAATTTCTTAACAATTTGCTTTTGTGTTATTTTATATCTTATCTGATATACAAATATTGTATATTATGGTTAACTTTTCTGACTGTCCAGAGGTGAGTTTTGGAGTTATGGTTTTTTCTTAATTTTTGGAACTTGATGAATATTAAGTCAACAATTTCTTCATGTATTAAATATTCAGATATGCAATAACTGCGGCACAAGAAAACGTTACTAAAGCTTTTGTGAGCAAAACAATTGAATTATCTGCCTTCGCATGAGTTTGAGGAATAAATCGGAATTATTAATGTAACAATTTGAGATCAGTAAAGTTAACACTGATTGAATAGTTTATTACATTTTTCGTTCACCATACTGAAACGTATTCAAAAATAAAAACTATGAAACTTACCCGTAATATAACCTGTATAATTAGGTATAGCTTTAATTCTTTTGCTCAAGTGTCTTTTATTTAGATTTGCGAAGCTTCGTTTGGAAACTGAAGAATGCGGAACGTACGAGCTCAAATGGACATGATTGTTACACTTTGTATCGGACCCAACAGGGCAAAAATTCGAATACTCGTGTCTGTTAAAATAAGCTGAATTTGGAAAGGAATGGCAGCAACAGTAATCTTTAGTCTAGAAAAAAATAGAAAATTGAATGATCATTTTCAAAACAAAAGTTTATAAGCATTTAAGCATTTCCATAATATACATACTAAGAGGTAGAAGAATTATATTAAATACTTGGGTTTTCTCGTTTTAGTTTGGGTCCATAAAGGTCCAATGGATAAAACTGAAATAGTTGTTATTTCGTTTAAAGTTCGAATTCTAGCACAACAGATTCAATGTTTGGGCACTATGGGGCAGATGTAAGCTAAATATGAGCAAAATTTGCCTTTCTCCAAAACAGTTATCTTTTGAGTGCTTTATTTTAATTTAATAACCTGATGTTAATTAAATTTTATTTATACGCATTGTAGTCTGCATGCCGACAAAAGGATTCATAGTGCTTCGGAACCACTTAAGCTTTCACTTACTGACAATAATTTTTTAAACCAAAATTATGGATATATTAACATAGGATGATGAATTGGTTGTAAAATTGTGATTTTTCATTTTAATTTTGTTTACGAAGGTTAGCTAGATCAGGTAACATTTTATTCTTCGGCTTTCTATTATAATTCTTGACATTGAAATTGTGACGCCGGTGAGAAGTTTGAGCCAACTTCACATTAAATCATTTCTGTAGTTCTTGGCTGCTAAGTTTTAAATCCGAGTTTACTGTTGCTTTAAGTTACATAGCTACAAGTGTTTGGCTGATTGGTAAGCAAGACTCATGCATTTATGTTCTGGTTCTTATTAAATAAAAATGTTTGTTTAAAAACTTTTTAAAGAGTTTGTATTTCTTTAAAAAGAACGAGCGATTCCAGACGAGCGATAATTCGTTCCAAGTCTGTTAGGAGTTTGGACTAGTTTATGCTAGCAAAGAAGACTAAACTTTAGAAACGGAACTTAAGAGATAAAAATAAGCAAACTTTTACGATTATTCATAAATGTTCAGACTTTTGATTAACATTACTTAAATAAAAATAATGATTTACATGTCATTACTGAGGTTCTAAAAATATGTAGGCTAGTTTTACTTCTTAAAATACTGAGAATAAATATTATAAATGTCTTTAAGATACCACTCATTTTCTAAACTCAAGTCAGACAAGAAAATGTCTAATCAAAATTTCGGAAAGAATTCCGTTAAGCTGTCTTTGTAATAATATTGCTGTAATTTTACTTGAAAGAAAAATTAAAGACTCAGAATTTAGTCTTGAAAAGAAAACATATCTGACGTAAGAAGGATATCACTATGCAGGGTGATCAAAAATAATTCATTGGTTTTAAACACTGTAAAAATTATTACACATGGAGCAATGAATGATGTATGAAATTTAAAGTATCCACCTTTCCGTTCATATCATCATAAGTTTTCAGACTGGCTTCCTGTAATCACGTGATCTCTGTTTATGTTGTATTCAAGTTCGCTTCACACCTGCGCTACTAATGGTCATTAATACATTGATAATGCAATTCTTGAGTTCAACCAAAGTTTCTCGCGATAGGAGAATGTAAGCAGAGCCTTTGACATATTCCCAAAGTAAGAATTGGCAATCGTGAGGTCTGAAGATTATCTTCAGCCTATCACCTAATCCAGCGGCGTGGGAATTCTTAGTTGAAGTAGTCACGCCGATTTTAAAACTCAGAGGCATAGATCAATATAAGGTTTATTTTCATGCATTATTCCTTATCATATGTATAATAACTTTTTGAAATATGAAAAAATTCATTTATTATTATCCTCTACTATATAGTAGGCTGACACATTCTCCAAACCTTACACGGGAGTAGAACTCATACCTTTGGTTTCGGGAGGAGAGTCAGCCTGCTCTAACTATTATGCCTCCAAAGAATATCCATTAAAAAGAAACAAAATTATTGCATCTAGAGAGAGGACAATTATTCCTTCTAATCAGCATATAATAGGCATAATTCTGAGACAACTATGACTATTCAGGGCTAATTACATCTTAGATTCAGTAATTCCATATCTAGGACCCAGAAGTTTAGGAAGCCCACAAATCATGCTTTAATTTCTTATAATTCTTCTTAGAAAACAAGGAAAGAGAGCACTGAGGCCTTTGAAGGTACGCCATATATAGAGTATGTAAGGATTATGTTAAATTTATTAGCAGTTAAATTTTGAGTTAAACTTCCTTTCCTATCGCTTCTTAATTTCAGCTTACCACTTCCCGCCACAACGTAGTTTTAGAATCACTTCTGAATGCTAATGAGGAAGAGCGGTGTTTAACCGCGAAGTTCTACTGTTTTAGAGAGATACCAGATATTCTGGCTGCACGCGTCCGCCTTTTTAAACTATTCTCTCGTAAGCTATTATTACGCTCGACCGTACTTTAGGCCCTTGATAGCTTCGCAGTCAATTAGCGTTAAGGGGCCAACTCTGTTAGAATTTTGATAGCTTCGGCTATATCTCTTTAGTTAAGATTAGCTTAGTTTGATTCTTAGTCTCTTAAGTTCAAGCCCAAATGTCGGCTTTATTGTACAACTCCAAGACTGAGTTCTGTTATATCTTAGTTGAATAATAAAGGATCTTTTAACCCTTTCCAAGTTTATTTATTGTCTCACGAACACAAGCGATTATTTGCTATTATCGCTAATTCTTAAGAATCTTAAGAACTAGTTTGCGATTACTTGTTCTTAAGATTCTTCACTTTTAACTGTAACTTAGAATTACACATTGGAGAACCCTACAAGACTTTTACTCGGGCTGTGTACATGTTTTTAATATGAATAATGAATGCTAAAGGCCTTAATACGTGTAGCTTTCTGTTGCAAGTTTAGAACAACATCCTTACTGCATTTAGTATAGAAAGAAAATCTCGTAGCTTTGTTCTGCTTCTGGAACAAATACAGTTTTTCACTATTCTGTTTGATTTTTTTCATCGTCCTTAACATGTAGATTGCATTTAGAATTCTTAGAAATATATCGTTTTTTGAGATTACACTTTATAGTAATCTCAGTCGAATATACTCTATTTAATAGTAGTACCCCTTCAAGGTTTATAAAAGAGTTCTAGCTCTTGGTATCGCATACCATGCACTGTGTGTTGCATTGCTGTCTTTTGCAGTTTGTCAGATCTGTAACAAATATTAAAAATATTATTTTATAGATATTTTTAATGCTATTCACGAATGTTGTAATAAAAATTTCTTTTGAAATGAGGCAAAGAAAGCAACCTCAGTTTAAAAAATATTTTTTAATAAGGATGGTCAGACACAAGTCTCTCTTCTTCAACGGCAAAAAATTTTTTGCTCCTAAAGAAATCCTCAAAATCGCCCTTGAAATCGATAGAATTTCGTTCAGAATCTATACCGAACTAAGGTTACTCTTTTTGGTCTAATATTAAAATTTACACTAGCATATTCCTGTTCCATTTAAGAAATTCCTTCCTTTTTTATTATGCGTTAATAACTTAGCCATTACGATTTATGTAATAATCTGCACATAAAGCCTTAAATAGTTTTCTCCATCACGTGATAAAAGCGAAAGAAGTTGCACCAAATATTAGTTGCTCCAAAATAACTTATTCTGCCATATTTAAAAAAAAGGGGGAAAAATGATTTTACCATAAAAGAACATTTTTATTGAAAGACTTTTCTTGACACTTATAACTACATCGAAAGAGATATGGGAATGGGGGGAAATGCGGTTTGGGCTGGAAACTAAATGATTTTGTTGAATAAAATAGTTAATAATATCTGAAATGTTCACGTTTATTTTCTTTAAAATTCCTGTGCAATATCCAATTCGTATCACATTCCTGTAGCTCAAAGGTCGTCAAATACATAGAAAAATCTTATCTTTATCTTCGGGTCTGAGATTAATGAAAATATATAAGTACTTTCATATTTCCATTGATCTGAGACTAGAAAAGATAAGATCGCAATTATCGTGCGTATTTGATGCACTTTGAATATGATGTAGCTGATATATATTTCATGTTATATATTGATATATTCCCCTTTTTTAACGTGTATATATATATACATTTTTTTTCATTACAACAGCACTAAGTTAAAGGAAAGAGAGTTGATAAATTTAGTACATGTTATTATTACTACAATAAACTTTGTTGTTTCTCTTTTCATGTACTTCTGATTGGTGTTGTGAACTCGTTAATTAAAAAATCATGATTAATCCATTATACAAACGATGCCGCTACAAATATGTTAACTATGTGAAATGCTGAGCTTAAAATGCCAGTTTACTTTAATAAACGGCCTTTTGAATATTACTAAATCTAGTCTTACAACATAAATTAATTTAACATATGTATTCAAACTGAAACTGTTCACCTTTTAATACTACACAAGGTGTGCCTTAAATGTTGCGACAAATTTCTGCGGGAGGTAGGGCACATCATAAAGATTAAGAATTGCATATGAACCCATGCCCAGAAACGTCACTGTACGCCGCCAGAGGGCGCTGTACAGGGGAGTGCTAGCGGAAAGTGAGGATTCCCTTATTCGGAAGCGGTAGGCACCATACGAAGAGCATGGACTGCTATACGAACGTAGAACTTGCAGGCATGCATTTTAGTGTACGGCATAGCTGAGGTTAATGGACGAGCCGCTGCACGCGTTTATCAAGAACGTTCCCCGACAAACATCAACCACCCCACAGTTTGCTTGCACGTCTGCATCAAAATTTGTGCAATTGCTGGTCATTAAGAAATGGAAGGACAAGTGAGGGCAGTCCATGATCGACTTGCTCGGTCGTTAGGAAAGAAAGTGTGTTGGATACGGGGGAGAGTAATCCAAGGACCAGCATACGTGCAATCGCCTCTCAATTAAGAATGTCTCATACCACTATACAGCATGCCTTGAACGCTGAGTCCTTCCACACCTTTGGTCTTCAAAGGTTTCAGTTATTGCTCCTAAATGACCATCCTGAACGTGGGCGTTTCGCACAGGGGTTTCTGCAAGAAAGTGGCCGTGATGTTAACAGCTTATGTGTTGTTCACGGATGAGACCATATTCAATAGGGATGGCATCGCCAATCACCACATTCAGCATTTGTGAGCTCAAGAAAACTCCTACGGTGTGCGTCATCACGCAACAACACTTCAAAGTTAATGTATGGGCGCCTGCTCATTTTGGAGGATTGGATGTTCGTAGCCATTTGAACAGATCATTCCCGCATCTATGGACTGGGCGTGGTGGACCGATTCCCTGGCTTCCGCGCTCACCGAATTTATCGAGCCTTAAATTCTTTTTGTGGAGAGCCATCAAAAGTGTCGTGTATCACGATCCTGTTGTGTCTGAAATGGGTCTCGTGTCAAGACTCGTCTGCGCATCTGCTACAATCAAAGAAACTCCCGGTGTGTTTGAACATGTCCGGCAATCAATAGTCCGTCGGTGTCAGGCATGTTTGGCGTCTGATTGCGAAAACTTGGAGCATCTATTGTAACATTCAAACTGTCGTACACCACTTGTATACACGTCCAATAGATGTTTCAAATTAATCACTCTCCTGTTTCCTTTCCCATCTTCTATTTCTGTTACCACTTACCCCTGAGATTTTCGGGCATGGGTTCCTGTGCAATTTTGAATCCTTATGATGTAGCTTACCTACCCTAGAAGTTTGCCGCAATATTTACCGGACACCCTGTATATATAAAACAAAATAGATAACCACGAAAATTTACTTACGTATTTTTGCTGATCTGACACTTGAACATAAGGTGGAATATAAATTTTTTCTGTGAATTTGATGCTCTTTGAATGAGGTGGGAATGATAGGGGTTCTATACAGCAATAACCTGAAGTATTTTCATTTACTTGGTTGTCATTACAGCTACATTGAAGGTATTGTTCAACATTTAAAGCACCACCTGTTAAAAGGTAAGAAAACGCCACTGCTAGAATTCAGTTAATAACATTGCTTACTCTTTGCTATATGGTAAATGAATTATCTAAATTTTGGTTTAACAAAAATTATCTTTTAGAAATAAGAAACTGGATTTCCTAAACAATTCTATATTGAATGCATAGTAAATTAATACTGATACAAACAGGTGATAAACTCGAATAGTGCTTCCTTTTCATATTTTGTAAACATTATAAATATATTAAAATGTAAATGGGAATAAATGTATTCTCTAGTTCACAAAATAGTATTATACATTCATAATATTACACAATAACAAAGATAACGTTCTTGTTATACAGAATAAATAATATCTTCAAATTCTAGAATATGACGGAATATATCAGTTTTCGTAAATAAAAATCAATCGTACATCGCAGTAGAATACTCTTTCGGTTCCATTAAAAATTATTTTTACGTATTAAAAATATACTGTTTTTATTCATTCTAAAATTATTTATCATGTAATATCCTCACTTTGAAAATACGTATAAATCCACACTTAGAATGATGCGAATATTGCATTATTATGGTTATAAGAGTATAATCCAATAAATGCCTAAAATTGTCCGTCTGTATTTTAATAATTAATACAAAGTATTATCTCTATACTTATTTAAGTTCGTCAGAACAATTCAAGATTAAATTTACTCTTTTTACATCCTTGTACGAACTAAAAAAAAGTATTGTAATCGCGAAAAGTTTCAGGCAGCATATTTCAACGAAAATATCCATTTTGAACGCTATCGAATGCAATTTAACGATGTTTTTGCGTAACATCTGTACGTAAAGACAGAATAAAAGATTCTTTTCCTCCAAAAAAAAAAAAAATTATAAAACTGCTTTAAAATGAATTCTAAAGAGAATTTTTCGTGGCATCTGTACCAACGTATGTACGTACGTACGTACGTATCTCGCAAAACTCAAAAACGAATAGCCTCAGAACTTTGAAATTTTGTATATAGGACTGCTATAACATGTAGATGTGCACCTCGTATTTTGGTTGCAATCGGCCGCACCAACCGTATATAAATATATTTATATATACATATCCACTGTGTTACCCGGCTCAGAGTGGTTTAATAAATTTTATTTGGAATTTAATTTGGTTTGTTTTTTGGTCACAATTCTTAATTATTAAAGGCGATAACTCATCAAAGGTTAAGTTAATTCTGCCGCCTCGGCAAAAGCTGTTGAACATTATGTTTTTAGCTTTTTCAAGTTGTAAATCTTTGTTTATTATTTTAATTATTGTTGCTGCAGATGTATTCAAAGATTTTGCAGTTGATATCTGTGTCGCAGATTTTCTCTTGCTATCTACAACTTAACTTTAGAAACACGAGAAACAGTACTCACTTTCCCAGGTATTCGTCCGGAGTCTCCTTTCCATATAGAAGTAATGATTGACAGTTTTTCGCTTTCCGGTTAATAATGTTGCTTAGTTTCACTTAAAACTTTTAATACCATGTAGTTTACTACGTTTCTAAATCACAGAAAAGAAAAATCTCCCTTCAGAATGAACAAAAAAACAGATTCTTCAATCCACAGATTGTTTACATGCGACATTTTTAAAGAAGAATAAATTTAAAAGTAGTAAATAATATTTTTAATTTGAAATAAGAAGCTATTAGCTGAAATTTTTATTCCAGAATATTTGCTTTTTTTTAATTCTTTAGCGAAATTGTTTCAAATTTGTGAATAACCTTCTGTAGCTTAAATAAAGACGACCCCGGTCGACATGAATTTCATCCTTATATGCCTATCAGATTTTTAATACTGTTGACTGCATTTATCACCTTTTGCCAAAGGTGAAAATTGAAAGGAATTTTATTGAAAATCTAAAATATTTAACTTGTATGATAGCCAGTGCCATCTTAAACACCATTATGGGCCTCTGGAAAATCCAGTGCTTTGAGGCCCCTATGACAACCATTCGGAAAAATGAAATGTAAATGGTGTCTGCGTGCTCTGGCATGGAATCCCTACCCTCGTGAGGCCACCAGCAAGTGCTCAGCTGTCTTACGTATTAAGACAGCCCTGACGATAGCGAGTAAACAGAATAGCTATCTGATTTGATAACGGAATGAGTTTCGACAATTTCATAGAGAAATTTTTATTTACCTATTAGAACTTATGCATGCTTCTTTTCAACGGAAAATACCATAAAGTTGAGTGCAATTCACTTACACGCGTAATCTGTTGTAGCTTCACTTAACGACGGTAGCTTTTAAGTGAAATTTTCTTCTATACATATCATATATATCGAAGAAACTATTCTGAATATCATCTAGGCAATTCTGCTATGTAAAATTAACTTAATTAATTAAAAGTGAACATTCATCCTAACGGCTAACATACAGAATTAACTTAACCTTTGATGAGTTATCACCTTTAATAATTAAGAATTGTGACCAAAAAACAAACCAAATTAAATTCCAAATAAAATTTATTAAACCACTCTGAGCCGGGTAACAGAGTGGATATGTATATATAAATATATTTATATACGGTTGGTGCGGCCGATTGCAACCAAAATACGAGGTGCATATCTACATGTTATAGCAGTCCTATATACAAAATTTGAACGTTCTGAGGCAACTCGTTTTTGAGTTATGCGAGATACGTACGTACGTACGTACATACGTTCGTACAGACGCCACGAAAAATTCTCTTCAGAATTCATTTTAAAGCAGTTTTATAATTTTTTTTTTTGAGGAAAAGAATCTTTTATTCTGTCTTTACGTACAGATGTTACGCAAGAACATCGTTAAATTGCATTCGATAGCGGTCAAAATGGATATTTTCGTTGAAATATGCTGCCTGAAACTTTTCGCGCTTACAATACTTCCTTTTTAGTTCGTACAAGGATGTAAAAAGAGTAAATTTAATCTTGAATTGTTCTGACGAACTTAAATAAGTATAGAGATAATACTTTGTATTAATTATTAAAATACAGACGGACAATTTTAGGCATTTATTAACAGGAGAGTGATTAATAGTAAAGAAGAATAAATTTAAAAGTAGTATTCCATACACACTTAAATTTGTAATATCCTCTACAAAAATTGTTTACACAAGTGCAATAAAAAAGTGTCCGCTTATTATCGCAATGAAGATAAAAAAATACACAACCTGGTTCCATCAATAGCAAAAAACGTTTCAGCAAGAGATTTACGATTGTCACAGGATTCTCTTCTAACAGGAAATTAAAAAATAAGACGAGCGAAAAAAAAAAATGTTAAAATCAACTCAACGTACCATCAAGAGAAAATTTTACTGTACCGAAAATTTTACCTATATTCACAGAAAAAATTCCATTTCTTTATGCCAATGACTTCCAAAGAATGAAACTTCATCAAGCCAAAGCAACAGCTCATACTTCGAAAAGTATTACTGCATTTCTTAAAAAAAAAAATAAGACTGATACAAGTATTCCATACACACCTTTTTGAACATATTCCTGTGACTGAAATTTTCTGACGTTTTAAACTTCTGATTATTGTGCCACTAGTCCTTTGAAAATAGCTCTTTCTTAGCGTTAACTCACCACGATTGATGAACTTCAGAAAGCAATGGAAGAGGAATGCAGATCAAAACTCTTGGAAATTTTACAAAAAAAACTTTCTATCATGGAAATCATGACGCAGACTTGTAGTCCAGACAAAAGTGTAAAAAAGATACACTTTGCTCTTAAAACATTAATTACACGACACCAAAATCATTCTGAATTTGTGCAAAAATGTTCTCTTGAAAGCTGGTGACTTTAGGTAAATTTCGCATTGTTAAAAATCAGTGGCTAAATTTATTAAAAATTATCAGTCCAAACATAAAACGACTAACTAGAAGAAAATTTCTGTTTAATTATAAGAATTATAAATATTGTTACGTTATTTTCTTCCTTCACGTTCGTACGGGGTTCCTAGATTTGGAGTGAATAACGACGACACTTGATGAAGTATCGAAACACACTTTATTTACCAATATTAATCAGATAGCTTCAAAATCACTTTTACAGCCGTCGAACTGTTATAAACACGCTGACACGTTCAGCGACACAGCCTTCACACTGTTAGGCAATAACGGTGGAGACAGCTTCACTCCAAAGCACCCGAGTACAGCTCCAAACTCTGCTTGGTCGTTCTCGGAACTCCACGTACTCTCGAGACTCTCCACGCGATGCACTCGACGATACACAAGAGTATAGCTCTCGACTCAGCACACTTTAAGACAAAACTCGACGATGCACTAATTCGCGATGCGCTAAAAGACTCTCTCGATGCACTCGACGACCAACTCGGCTCTAGACTTCGAGACACTTGCTCAATGACTGATTATCAGCTCGCTAGACGCGGCACACACACTCGCCCTCTCGACGAAGCACACTCTAACTGACTGCGGACCAGCAGGGTTTATATAGCTTTCGGCTTGTGTTCGAGAACGTTCTGAGCTAAACCGGCAAGAATTCGTTCCAGAAGGTTCTCCATCCGTCCATGGTATATCGCCAATTTTGTTGCCAAATGGGTGATTTCTCTCCAAATGTGGCAACCCTGCCTTCCCTTGCAATTTTATGACAACCCTAAAATTGCTTTTGAGGAGGAAGCTATCTCACCGCTCCTATACATTTTGTAACAATATATTTCCTTTTACATTTCTTTCCTTTACTTTCACTTTCTACTTTACTTATTTTTACATATGAGTATATGGTCTCGGACCCTAAAAAAAAAAAAAAAAAAAAAAAAAAACAAGGCCGTAGCTAGTTTTTTTTTTTTTTTTTTTTTTTTTTTTTTTTTTTTTTTTGTGTCCAAGAACAATTGATGATTTTGTGCCCTCTCCTATTTGCCAAGAATAGAAAACATTTCATTCTGAAATTTCGCAGCATCAGTTTGGCTCACCCTGGATGCTGGGGCCAGGGACATACGTTTTCCCTTGCTGGATGCACTGCAGAAACATAGATATAAACTTCAAAATATTACAAGTATTAGGTAATCATACAAAAATCGCAACCTTGCACATTGATATTATCGAATTTTTCACAATTTTGTTGCATAAATCATTAATGAAACATTTACAACAAAAGTAAATTAAACATTCTTAAAATTTTAGTATGAATGCGGCTCTATTGCTGTATAAATCAAATTTCCTTTCTTTCCATTTAAGGTAATATTTATTCCTTATGCAGTAATAACTTTTACTAAATATTCTGACGGAGTTCCTTTCATGTACCTTCCAAAAACTGAAAAATTAGATATTTATTTTTATAAATACTATTATTCTCATAAAATATTTTGTTTATACTTTAAAATCAGGATAATTCATTTATAATGTATTTTCTACATCATCCCAGCCTGCCTTCGAGGTGTAACGGTAGCACACTCGGCGCGTATTCGAAAGGTCCAGAGTTCGAGTCTCAGCGAAGACACTGCACATTTTTTATATCATTCTGCATCAAAAAGAACCTAATGCCTCTACACATTAACGCCTATTAATTATGATGCTGGTTTGTAATTTTTGGTAGTAGCCTGGTGATTATTACTATGACTGAAAGACACAGAAAGTTCCATACACATTGGAAGGTTGAGTAAAGTGAATTAAGTAATCCACTTTTAAACTTAATCAATAATATTTAATAAATATAAAAAATTGTGTACAAAAACACAGTTACGCACTCGAGTGAGGGTCCGATCATCATGAAAGTTCGAGTAGCCCAAGACGAAAAATATCCGTTTACTACGAGCGTCGAGGAAGAAGTGGTTATGGTAAAGTTAACGCTTCTAAAGCAGTGGGTTTCTCAACCGCCGGTCTTCAAACACTATTCGCTGGTCTTTCCACATTCAGAACTGGTCAGTTTTGTATGTGTAAAGATTATGCCAATAGGCCAAATTACTAACCTTACCGGTCCCCGATAAAACACTGAAATATTTTAGCGGTACTACGAGTAAATCTGGTTGAGAAACACAGCTGTAGACAACGGTGGCCCATCGCCTTTGGAAACTGAAAGCAGCAGTTAGGCCTTGTAGCGGAGGTAGCTTGAGTCTACCACAATGGTATACATCAGCTGTTCTCAACCTTTTGCTTAACGCCTACCATCTAAACAAAAATTGAAAAACTTTAGTACTAGCACGATATTTTACAATGATTATTTTTTAGTTTCTCAAAAGAAATATTTAAAAATATATATATTTTTTGCTATTTGCATAACTCATTGGCTGTATGTATTAAATGTGGACACATAAAAATATTAGATTAAAATTTTACTTATCAAAATTTAAGTTGTAATACTTTGATTCTAAAATTTTTATGTGAAATCTGGGCCTGCTTGAGATGATTTCTTCATGTCTGGTCTTATTTCACTTAGTTTCTGTTGGGTAGAGGCGAGCGAACCTTTTTGTCATGCGCATGCGTATTAATTATGATGGCGCAGCTGTCTCTTCTCCCGATACATCCGTCATTCGAGCGTATGGAGATGGTGAGATGTTACTTGCTGTGTGATGGTCAATACGATTTCCTGTGTGATCTTTTTATTCATTATTCGTGTAAATAAAGTGTGTTGTCCTACGATGGCTTTTTTTACTCTAAATATTGGCCTCTGAACAACAGTTTCTTTGCGTACCACTTATTTTTCTCTTGAGTATCACCGGTTGAAAATCGTTGGTAAAGATTCTTAAATTCTTATTTCTGTTAATTTCTATCAATATTTTATATTTTGATATTTCTGTCAAAGCTATAAACAGAAAATAATGAAAATTTAGAGGAATTTTAACTTCCCTTTCCTAAATAAAAATAAATAAATATTAAATTTTATCTTCGTTCTAGTTCATTTTACTTAGTTCATTGAACCTGTTTTAACCGTTTAAATGTAGAACTTCATTTAAAATTCTCAGAACAAGTTTGTAGAAATTAATCTGAAAAAATAATGCCAAACTGTCATTCGTGTACAGATTTCTTTCATTTGAAAAAGGGATTTTTATTCGCTTACTATAAAAGATGTAACCTATTTTTCTTGCACCCTTGCAACATTTCTAGCGCTTCAGTCGGAAAAATTAAATAACGTTAAAAAAAAAAAAAAAAATCTGAGAGCTTTCAGACTTTATATTACACCCAAAAGGGGCTTTTTTTTTCTTTACACATACAAACACGCTTCGAGAGCATTTCAGCTAACGTCTCTTTGAGCTAAAAGATATTAAAAACAGAATATCTTTAGAATTTCCGATAGACAGGCTCACGCGCTGGAGGGGAAAATATTTTATTTTATTTTGTACAGTTTGTTGCCATTGCTCGCTTTGGAATCGTTTAGCTTCATAAAAATTCGTTATTGTTTTAAAAATATTAGATAGATAATAAAACAAATTGGAAATTCAAGATTAGGGTTTCCAGGTGCACATATTCGGGCGGAGGGCTATATTATTCAAAATTTGATGGATCTAGGTATTATTGTTATTTCACAATGCGAGAAACATACCTGTATTCATGCACATATTTCATTATTTAATTTCTTTAAATATAATTTGGTGCTAACAATTTGAAAAGTGATACAGCCGTTTACAGCCATTCGATGTAAAACGCCATTTCGAGACTATTAGCCATTCTGGCCTAATGCCCCTTTGGGCTAATAATTCGAAAATCGTCATTTTAAATGTATCTCTTTTTTTTTTTTTTTTTTTTTTTTTTTAATCTTATATAAGGAATCTTCATTTTAGTTTAATAACAGCTGCAGTTTTTATAGCTCACGTTATTTGTATTACTTAAAGTCAGCCATAATTTGAGATGGATTAACATTTAGCATTTCATGAGAAAATTAATTAGCGCATTTGAGTGAATTGTAAAACTCTGAACATATTGAGATAGTGGCAAATAATATTGAAAAGCGAATAAGAAAGAAAGGATTTGTTGAACTTGCGAATATTCTAGATGTTCTGTGCTCATGATTTTACTCAGACAGAGTTATCTCCAAAAAAATAATCCATTATAGCACAAATAGAGATGTGCTTATTTAGAGTTTTTTATATAGTCAATCATCTGATTTTCACTTTTCAAATATTATGTGAATAAACGCAATTATGATTCACCAGTAATATCAGTTGTTAAGATACGTATCGTTCCTTTCATTTTAAGAGAAAATGATTGTTAATTTCTGTTTTTGAGACATTAAGTAGAAGCAAAATAAAGTAGTTTTGTTATCATTTAAAAAAAAGGCGTTGCATTTTAAATAATAGATATTTACCTTTTACTTCTTTTTAGTCCAAAGGCGAAATTTACCCTGAAGGACTATTAATTTCGTTTGGCATTTTGCGTTGAAAACTATAAACGGCGAATCAATTTTCAAATTGTTGCCACTAAATATTATCGCCCTGTATTATATTTAAAGAAATTAAATAACGAACAATCTGCATGAATGTATGTATGTTTCTCGCACTGTGATAAAACAACGGTACCTAGAGCCATCAAATTTTGAGAAACGTAATTTTCCGTAGAATATGGGCATGTGGAAGCCCTAATTTGAATTTGAAATTTCTTTTATTACCGGTTTCCTATTTTGTAACACTTCAACGAATTTTTGGTTAAAAAACTAAACGATTTCAAAGTGAGAAATGGCAACACTGTACGGAAAAAAAAATTGTCTCCAGCGTACGAGACTCTGTATCGGAAATTCTAAAGATATGCTCATTTTAAAATTATTTTGCGATATTGCTGTTGAATTGAATTTTGTGGTTTGAGTACTTAGAATATGATATTTAATAAAGGTAACAGACAAAGAAAGCATTAAAAAAAACCTTTTGAACGTAATTTAAAATCTGAAACCTTTCGGATTTTTTTTAATTCTTATTTTTTTTTCTCCTTGTTTCTTTTGAACCCTGTTTGAACTAGCCAGGAGGCATTTAGTTATTGGAGCTTTATATTTATTGTTATTGTATAAAGTGAAAGTTATATTAAATTAATTCATTTATAGATAATACTATTAGCTCTTAATCAACTCTGCACTTATGAGCATTTATACTTTTGTGTTTCAATAACGAACATTCGTAACTTCTTACAGTTGCATGATTCAGGAGAAGAAAATGTCCTATCAGCATCTCCTGATCCTTTTTCTATATGTCTATTTTCCATTCCAGACGGTAATCCTGCTGCTTGAACTGTATTTGCTACATCATAATTATACAAATACGGAGATTTCTGATAGTGATGAATAAGTCTCGCATTCCTCCTTATATTGCTGTCATGAAGTGAAATGTCTTTCCTTGGGCATGATTTACATGCTGTAGCAGAAAGTCTTTCCCCCAGTTGGGCATAACATTTTTCAATAATTCCATGAGTTTGTTTACCATAAGAGCGTCCAACCTGCTCTGCCAATTCAGGACAAAAACCTGTATACCTGAAATGAAGTTACTGTTTATAATTTGTTTCGAAAATTGCATTTACAAGAATGTAAAATTAAATAGTCTAAACCTGACTAGTAAAGATTTAAAATATAAATTTCAAAAAATATAGGGGGACTTTCGGACCCATTGGGATCACTATTCATCTAGACATTAAATTTTGGATATTATATATTTTAAAGGGGAGAAATGTAATATTTTATATTAAAAATGTCAGTCGTTAAGAGAAAACGTCTAACCTCAGTAACATTGAATATTATAAAACAGAAAATTCTAACATGGAAAGGAAATTAACATAACTGCATTACTGCTATAAAAGAAGATCTTGTCATATTTAAGCAAATGTTCAGTAAACAAATAACAGAGGGGTTAATGGGCAACAACACATAATTACCTTTTCATTAATAACTATAAGCTATAATCTGACCAAAATTTGTCAAGTTGCGCACATTCATCTAAATTGATATAATATCTTATTACAAAAGTGTATATATTACATTGTATTAAATATTTTGTATTATTAAATACACGAAAAATTGAAAACATATGAATAAGGTAGCAATAAATTTTACGTGGCCTAGAAAAACGAACAAGTGATTTTGAACAACTAAAACTTTGGAGATGATAAATCTGGGTAAATTCGTAGTACATGATTCATCAAGGTTTCAAATAAAATTCTAGTTTATGATGTAATACCATAAGCAATTAATGTTTTTCTAGAAAACACCTCGGTTTATGTCGAAGATTTTTACAAACACATCTTGCATGAGAAGCCTTCAAAAAGTTTCAAACTTAATACACTTGTAGAAGATAAATATCTAAACTTATTTTCTCAGCTTCCTTTGACTTATATGCACATAGCACGGCAACCAGTAAAGCATTGGATTTCATCAGGAAAAAATGTTTAGTCACTTTTTAAATCATTCTTTAAGGAGTTTTACAAATTAGGACTACCACCGAACCACCATAAGTTGTAGAGACATTAGGTATTTTTTGGAAGCAAGCAAAATGAAAAAGAGCAATCGCCTTCGCCGGGAATCGAACCACCGACCTCTGGAATACCGGCCCAGCGTGCAGAACCACTACACCACGAAGGCACTCTAGGAAGGCGGAAGAAATACCTTATATACTCCCCCTTTTAAAGGGCGACTGGGTTTTTAGGGGACCCAATTGCCAAATCTTGGGTGAGGAGAATCATTATCCAACACCCTTTTTAGTTCGGGTACCACTATAGAGACATTCGGATTTTTAATGGAAGCAAGATGAAAAATTAGCAACCAGCCTTCGCCGGGAATCGAACCACGGACCTCTGGAATACCGGCCCAGCGTGAGGAACCCTACACCACGAAGGCACGCTAGGAAGGCGGGAGAAATACCTTATAAAGTCGCTGTAACGTGCTGTTCCATGCGAATACAGCTTCAGCTTTTGAAACAAAAAGAAATCATTTCGATCCAGGTTTAGTAATTTGGTAGCTGAAGAGTAGCAGTTTAGAAAATCTGAGGCTGTGTGCTGTAACGTTGTCGTGCAAAAGAAACATTATTCTGCTAGGTTTGTCACAGCTTGTCAGAGTTGATTCAGTAGATTAGCACAATAATACTTATTCAGAAGTCAAACAACAAAAATCAGCGTTATATTTACCAAATTTTCACAGGACTAGTTTCGATGGTTTTACCGAACCACCATCTTCAGTTGCAAAACCGCAAATGAACTAGATAGGAAATAATGATTAGATAAGATAAGAAAGCCTGGACAAGAATAAGCAAGTGGCGCCATCTGTTGGTGAAACCAGAACTAAAACATAATTTCTTTAAAGGCCGAAGGCAAATTTGGATTGGAATTAGGATCGTTAACTAGAACAGAAAGATTTTTATGAATGTGAAATGCCTCTAGAAAATCCAGTTCTCCAATGGAAGATGTTTTTTGAATAATTTTGGCAGCAGAAAAACTGAAAGTGTGGTTTTCGGACCAACAATGTTGAGCAAACAGAAGACTTCTGTGTTTCCCCCTTTTTTTCTAACATATGCCTCATGTTCCTTGACGCGAAATTTTTAAGGCTCTCTTAGTTTGGCCAATGTAAATTAAACCACACTGGCAAGGAATCCTGTAAATACCACCCCCGGAATTCATATCCGGAATGGGGTCCTTGATTATGGAACTCGGAATTTTATTGATGGGAGAATAAACAACCCGAAAGTTAAATTTCTGCAAAATATGTGCAACTTTATAGCTAATTGATGGAAAGAAGGGAATGACAACAGAATTTTTATAATCTCCTAAAACAAGAGTGTGCCTTTTAGTGTGTTGAGATGAGAATTTTTTAACTGCTTGATTAATAATTTTGGGTGGAAAGCCCCTGTCAATAGCTATTGCTTTTAAATAATTTAGTTCTTCATCAAGCGCTAGTTTGGAGGAGCAAACTTGAAGAGCACGGAAAACATAGGAATAAAATGAAGCTAACTTTTGTTTAGTCGGATGACATGATTTAAAGTGTGGTGGAAGGCAAACCGATGAAAGTTTACGGTAAACCGTAGTACTGAAGTTGGATGTGTTACGTGTGACCAGAATGTCGAGAAACGGAAGAGAATTGCAAGTCTCAAGTTCAAAAGTGAACTGAATAGCAGGATCAATAGAATTCATTGTTGAAAGAACTTTATTTAAATCATCTTTATTACCTTCAAACAGAGTAAAAGTATCGTCTACGTAGCGGAACCATGCCGGGAAGTTTAAAGTTTCAAACAATTTTGATTCATAATAATGCATGTAGATATCAGCCAGGATGGGACTGAGGGGGCTTCCCATGGCTAATCCCTCAGTTTGCTTGTAATATTTATTTTGGAAAACAAAATGTGTTTGTTTCAAACAGAGTTGAGTGAGAGAAATTAGCTCATCAATTTCGATGCAAGAGAAATGAAATTCGCGAAGTCTGGTTTCTAGACATCTTAATGCACCCTCCACTGGGACATTGGTGAATAATGATTTTTACATCAAAAGAAACCATGAGTAAATTACTAGGAGAAATGTTTTTAACTTTTTTACACAATCTCTATTGAATTTTTTATGGTGTAAATGTTATTGTCTAATAGAGTTGAAAATCTAGAAACTAAATATTTAGCTAATGGATACGAGGCAGTACCTAAATTTGATACAATAGGGCGGAAAGGAATACCACTTTTATGAATTTTGGGAAGAGCATATAATCTGGCACAATTCGCAACAGATGGGATAAGTGAATGTTTTAAGTTGCCTGAAATGATTTGCGAAGATTTGATCGCAGTTTTTATTTTTGACAAGTCCGAAGGTGAAGGATCTTTAGGGATCGGATTATATGGTCCTTTAAGAGTTTAGTGACACCATCGATGTAAGTGTTCCTATCCATGACGACTATCTGGCCACCTTTGTCGGCCTTTGAAATAATAATATCCGGGTTAGAATGAATTTCATTTCACGCAATGTAGCTCTTTCTCTCGCAGTTAGATTTGGTTTCAAAGGGTTTATTATTGAATTTCACATTATGATCGATAAGATGCCTAATCCTTTCTTTCTTTCTGTGAATCTGAAACTTTACTGAACTTGAAAGCTTTTTCGATAGGAGCCAAAATCTTTGGAATCGAGGGTTTACAGGTTTGTGAGAAGTTAAAATTATATTTTAGAATTCTCTCTGTTCTTCTGAAAGACTAACATTAGAAATATTAACTATTGGCTTGATGTTTACAATGCGAAGATTTTTTGAACTACTTGAACTGGAAGATAGTAAAGAAGTTTTTTCGAATTTAACTGAAAGGGTGTTTTTATGACGGTTAACTGCATTCTCCGTTCTAGACCAAGACTTTTGTTCAAGGCAGTGAATTTTGGATATGATTTAGCGAGTTCCAGATGAAGCTTATAGAGTTCGCGTTCAATTTTGGACAATTGTTGACGTGTATCCCTTATGACGGACCGAAGTAAGGCAAGCTTGCAATTTAACAGAATTCTTGAAACGCGACTCGAAGGTTTTTGATTAGATTTGATTTGAATAAAATTTGGGATCAATTTTTTACATTTACATTTAAGTAAAAAGTCAAGATGATTCAGGAATTTTTGCCGTTTCAGGCGTAATTTAGTGAAACGATTAACGGATGAAGGCATGATAAACAATACAGAAAATCAAGCTAAATTAACTAAACAATAATAAAGCACACACAAAACAGCAGAAAAATTCCTCAATGAAATTAATAGAAAACAAAACGTTTGTAAGCAAAATGCATGAAATCAGACAAGCAAAGCACAGTATCCAAATATACAAAATATAAACATAACTTGAAAATTGCAAAAAAGTACTTACCGAAACTCATGCAATCACAATGTAAAATCATTGTGAAATCATCGTTTTTGATGTAAAATCATTATTCACCAATGTCCCAGTGGAGGGTGCATTAAGATGTCTAGAAACCAGACTTCGCGAATTTCATTTCTCTCGCATCGAAATTGATGAGCTAATTTCTCTCACTCAACTCTGTTTGAAACAAACACATTTTGTTTTCCAAAATAAATATTACAAGCAAACTGAGGGATTAGCCATGGGAAGCCCCCTCAGTCCCATCCTGGCTGATATCTACATGCATTATTATGAATCAAAATTGTTTGAAACTTTAAACTTCCCGGCATGGTTCCGCTACGTAGGACGATACTTTTACTCTGTTTGAAGGTAATAAAGATGATTTAAATAAAGTTCTTTCAACAATGAATTCTATTGATCCTGCTATTCAGTTCACTTTTGAACTTGAGACTTGCAATTCTCTTCCTTCTTTTCGTTTCTCGACATTCTGGTCACACGTAACACATCCAACTTCAGTACTACGGTTTACCGTAAACCTTCATCGGTTTGCCTTCCCACCACACTTTAAATCATGTTCATCCGACTAAACAAAAGTTAGCTTCATTTTATTCCTATGTTTTCCGTGCTCTTCAAGTTTGCTCCTCCAAACTAGCGCTTGATGAAGAACTAAATTATTTAAA